GTCGTCTTCGTCTCATCATCGTCGTTGACCCTATCGTTTTTTTTTTCATTATCAGGGAACTTTTATTTTGCTAAAATCGTATAAAAGAGAACTGTAAAGAGAGGGAGAAGGAAATATTGTAGAGAGAGAGAGAGAGAGAGAGAGAGAGAGAGAGAGAGAGAGAAAGAGGGAAAAAGAGAGAGTGATAGAGAGGGCAGATAGAAAGGAGCAAAAAAAAGGGGAGGAACGGGAGTGAATAGAGAATAGACATATATATATACGTAGACTATGTGTCCCAGGACAAAGGAGGGCGACAAAAAAAAGAATAATATCAAAGCCAAGGGCCACCAGTCAGCCTTTGATTCTCTTTTCACGTGACTCTCACCGGAACAAAAAGCTGCTATAGTAGATTCTCTTCTTCTCGTTTTTTCTTCCACAGACTTGTTTGTACCACCCCCTCACCACCACTACTACTACCACCACCACCACCACCACCACCACCATCACCAACACCACCACTACACCGTCTTATTGCTCTTTTACACGACCAACAAACGCTATTCTTCTTATTCTTATTCTTGCCCTTATTCTTATTCTTATTCTTATTCCACCTCGCTTTCATAGCTTATTTACTTGTGTACTCACGTGTGCGCGCACGCGTATCCGAGTGCCACCACCTAATCTCTCTCTCTCTCTCTCTCTCTCTCTCTCTCTGTCTTTTTCTCTGTCTCTTTCTCTCTCTTTTTTCTATTTCATCCCCTCTGGCCTCTCTTAAAGCTCGCCATCCTCTATCCCGCTCCTCCTAGTGCTCTTACGTCATCGGAGCTTCTCACTCTATTCATTTTTCGTTCTGTTGAAGCACGCATCGTGGCATGTGTCGAACGAAAAATTTCCTATATATAAAACGTTTCTTGCCCTGATGACCGACAATCTCCTTCTATCACGAAAAAATGAAATTCTATTACATTCGATTTTTCTATCGTCCCTTCCGCCATTATTTTTTCTTTTTTTGCTACATTCTCTATCGCTTTTATTTTTTTCGTAGACACATAGGTAGAAAGGTATATCTCCAAATTCAAAATTGTAAACTTTTAAGATTTAAGTTTTATAACGTTTGTTATGTTATTGGTTCTGCTTCTTTTTCGTTCTTCTTATTAAATTTGATTCTCAAGGATTCGTAATATAGCAACCGTGTCATTTAAATCGATGCTGCGAGGTCGTCTGACGTATTGGGAAAAACGGCTGACAATGAGCTGGCAATAGAGAGTCTTACGCAGCCATTCGAACGAGGTCGATGGCGCGCACTTCCGATGGTATATGACGCTCGAAGGACACGTCGTCAATTTCTTTTTTCTTTCTCTCTCTTTCTCCCTATCTCTTCTTTATCTTTTGTTTTTTTTTTTTCAGTTCCTAAAACTTTGAACGTGTCCTATGTATTACGCGATTTTACATTCACGCGACACGGACGTGTCCTTTCGTGTAGCTTATCAGTATATCTCTCGACCTTGTCAACTTCGATTTTTTGAGTCACGTGCATGTTTCTGTCGATTCGAAACGATCTATCGAAGTACGATAGATCATTTATATATTTTTCAATTGAAAATATTTTATTTATTTGTAATATTTATTTCCTTAGATATTATAATTTCTCACGAAAGATTCGATTAACAATTTAGGGATATTCCTTGGAGGTTCCCTTTGTAGTAAAATAGCAACGTCGTTATCTACGTTTTCTCGAAGCAAGTAGATTGCACTATGCACCGATACTATCACCATAAACACTATCACCACTACCACGATTTTTAATCACAAATACACACGTAGCATTGGTATTTTTCTAGATGACATCAAAATTAGGATAACAGCTTGCGAATAAATAAATATTCTATTTTATTCTAAATGCTTCTCTATCTCCTCCGAAGTCGGTCGATTCTTAGATAGGTTCTTCGCAACGTAGTCCTTACGAATCTCCTCTTTAAAGTAGTTAACAATCTATGACTTCTTAGATGCTAGATCGAAATATTCTCACATTCGAAGGTCTAGTCTTTAGCCACAAGGTATCCTGGTACAAATGTTATCACACTTGTACCAACTACGAGATATAATGTGAGTATGTAATAAGCAAGGGTCAACAACATTCATTAAATCTCTTCATTTGTTAATGGGAAAAGAAAAAGAAAAATAAAAAAAATAAAAATAAAAAGAAGAGATTAGATCATTCATCAATTCATCGACAAGATTTATCCTAGCAACTCGCTTGAATGTATAAAAGAAAAAAAACAAATTTGCATCTCGCTTGCTATTATCTGTGTGTGTGTCTGTCCACGTAGTTTGTTCAATGTACACGTATGTATGTATGTACATTTTTATACGTACGAGCGTATAAGAATTAAAACTTTCGATCGAACATGACACATTTTTTTTCACATCGATTTTAAATGATCGTTTAATCAACTTTTAATAGACGATCAAACGGAATATAATACGTACATACATTCGTTCGTTCGTTCGTTCGTAGAAATGCAGTCGATATGTTCTTTAATATGACCAAGACGAATCGAAATCTTATCCTTGACTATTATTCCCCTTAATATTTCAAATATTTATAACGATCTAAGCGATACTAGAGTCATGTTATTTTTCCCACGACATGTCAATAATAAATCACTACGTTGTTTCGTTATGCGTTATGTTCCTCTTGGTTGTAATAAAAGTCTCGAGAATGAGCAGAATATAAAATATTCTTCGTACTATTCGATCACGGAGAGTAAATAAATTGATTTTCATTAATTAATCGTATGATCGAATGAAATTTAAGAACGATATTTATTTATCTTGAAGAAAAATCTTGAGGAAAGTCGATAAAAAAATTCATTTAATGTGATCACAGTCATAATCATATAGAATCTCCGTAAAACCTTCGAGTAGTATGAGGGTAAAAAAAAAGAAAAAAGAAATGCTTCATTTCGAATTAGTAGAAAGTAGTCGTAGGTAAAAAAAAAAGATGCGAGGGACGCCGATAGCGGGCGGAGCTTCGTCACATTTCTTGCCTTTACAGAGACAAGAGAGAGAGAGAGAGAGAGAGAGAGAGAGAGAGAGAGAGAGAGAGAGAGAGAGAGAGAGAGAGATAAACAGACAGAGAGTGAGAGAGACAGAGAGAGAGAGAGAGAGAGAGAGAGAGAGAAAGCAGGAACAGGACAAGTATCATAGAAGGATGACGAAAACAGTGTTCCTTCGATAATAAGAAATAAAAGAAAAGGATATTGGCTAAATATTTCTCTGATCGATATAGAGAGAAATAAAAAAAAAAAAGAAAGGACTGACTGCAAAAGAAAGAACTGGAAAAGGTTTATCAAAGGTGGATGCCAAAGGATGTACGCTGCAGCGGGTGGTGCAAGTATTGCAAGTCGGAGGAAGCAAAAGCGTCTGCAGTTATATAAACGTGGAGCCGAAGGTGGCCCAGGAACGGCAAGAAGAATCAAGACAACTCTGACGAATCAAACGGTGATAAGGACAACAACTACGACGACAACGAACAAGTTCGCTCATCAGCATCAGCATCAGCACCACCACCACCACCACCACCACCACCATCATCATCAACACCAACACCAACACCACCACCACCACCACCAACACGTTGTCCAATCACCCTTCGCGGCACAAGCACCACAATCATCCCAATTCCATACGGGCATCGATCGACAGCAGCGTTCTCGCGTCGAGAAGTGCCAACAACTAGCACCTGTCTCGCCCATTCAATTCCCCATATCGCCGCCACCGCTCTCACTGGAATCATCGGGTTCGGTCACCTGCGCTACTAACAAGCCTAACAGCTTCCCTTTTCCGCCACCCTCGATCCTCGATCTAAGAATCTCGCCTACTTCCACGCCGGAGCTACAGGTGGGTAAAATCCTCCAAGAGCTACTACTATTTTCGTCGAAGGCCCTCCCTCCTAGTTGCCTTGGACGACCGAGCAAATGCTCCTTCTCCGTCTCCCCCCTCCCGTTGTACCTCTACCTCTAATTTTATTCCCTCGTTTTTCTATCACTTCGAAACGCTAGAGCTATCGTAGCACGGTAATAATATAGGAATATATATACATATTATATAGATATATATATATATATATATACACATATAAACCATCTCCCTTTTATCCGACCTTTTTTCTAATTCTTAATCTCTATTCTTTGTAGTTAGCTAGCTAGTTAGTATGTCTATTCTACATATCTATCTATCTGTCTATCTTTCTTTCTGTCTATCTATCTATCTATCTATCTATCTATCTATCTATCTATCTATCTATCTATCTATCCATCTATCTATCTGTACGTATCTGTCTGTCTATCTTTCTATCTTTATTATCTATACTTTTCGTTTTTATCTAACGCACCGCACCACTCGTCGGCACAACACCCCCCCGAGTTTGAGAAGACCGTCGATCGGCTGTCTGGTGGCGTCTACCGTAATATCGCGGTAAGGCGTTCGTCGGATCATCCAGGTTCGTTGGTCGATCCCGATTGCGATTAGTAGAGCATGTTCTTGGCCTATATATATAGATGACGATAAATGCGAAAATAGAAAAAAGGGGGTATACCGAAAAGAAAAAGATAAAGGAAAAAGAGGGAAAGCGTTTGCGTTATAACGTGCTTTCGTTTATTCGCTCATTATCGCGGTTTCGTTACCAGCGGATTTGGATATGGCGAATGCTGTGAGGCAGAACCGGTTTCTAAAATTTTTTTAGATTATACCTATATACCTGTATACGTCGAATTCGACGACGAATTCGAATTATACTGATCGGAATTGGGATATGCTAGTTGAGTGGGACTTGCTCGATACACGCTCGAAGAAAGGAGAAAAGGAATTCTCAGCCAGGAAGGTGACACTCGAATCTAAAAAAAGGTGCTACCACTACTACTCTTACTACTTCTTCTACTACTACTGCTACTACTACTGCTACTACGAGAAAGTGGAAAAAAAGACGGTCGGGATCTTGGCGATCGATGAAACAAGCAAGTGAATGAGCGGAATGCAGGCTGCTCTATTGATTAGAAGGGAGAAGCAGCGGTTACGGGGGGGTAAGGTGGTGAACTTTAGAGATTTACCAACCAACTTGGCCACAAGGCTTATTCCGCCGCTACCACGATATCCCCCACGTTCGTATGTTTACGGGGTAAGTATCAGGTTCGCTTGCCAGCCACTTTATCAACGACGGTAAGATATTACAAAATCGACAAGGTATTTCTACCAACGGAAAGTGTTCGCCGATAGAACCCTTCTCGAATAACTCACGATACCGCCTACCTGCGATGATTAAGGTAGAAACTTTCTAACTCGGGGTTCCTGTGCGGCCAAAATTTATCAACGATGTCATTTTTATTTGTTCCTTCTTTTTTTTCTCTCTCTTCGTTTCTTGTTCTTTTCTTTTTTTTTTCTTTTTTTTTTTTTTTTTATTCTTTTTACTTTTTTCATTCGGCTGCGCTTCCGTTTTTCGTTTTCTTATATCGTTTCCGTTCGATCGTTAGCGTCCTCTTTCCCCGTTTTCTTTTTGGTAGATCATGTGTGACGTTATTATCTACTCATTTGATCAATGTCGTCAAAAAATATAATTCGATACATATGTATATGTGTGTAAACAGAAATACGAATAATCTTCTTTGATAGCAAAGGATTAAGACAGAATATAATTTTTGATCGAACGGTATTCATTTACCGACCTTATCCTTAGCCCCTATGTTTCATCCATGTTTCTCTTTTATTATTATGATGCATTTAGGGTAGAATAATTAACGTCGAAAAGTGAAATGATTGCAGTGTCAGGGAGCTGGAAAGGTAGCATGGCAGGGATGCAACAGATCATCCCCTCTTCCTTTATTCCCTAATTTACCACACGGCTGTCGCGGCGGCGATGGATACAAAACGAAACAATGCGAGGCTCATCGAAGATGGATGAAGAGGAACAGGGTAAAGCGTTTCGTTTGAAGGCTAATCCTATTTAATTTCATAAATTAATTCACTCGATTTAATCGATTGGACAATGTAAAATGCATTGGACTTAATTAATTCGCTACGTTATGATAGTTAAGATAAAATTGTTTTATCACAGATACGAGATGCCAGTTATTGTTATGGCAGTAGCGGAGAGGACGACGACGACGACATAAGCGGTAGCGTAAATCGTCGTAGAGCCGAAGTGAATGCAGCTGTGAACACCGTACTTTATGCCGGGCTTGGTGCCACGGCTCTTGGCCTAGTGATTTCGTTCGTTGGGACCGGTGAGAAAGGATTTCTCAGTCCCGAGCTGAAATTAATCGGACCATCGTTACTGTGCGCTGGCCTACTTTGCTGCCTATTTCGTGTACTGCTTTGTCTATGCCTGTGCCGCTGCGGCGAATGCCGTTGGTGCCTTTGTAAGCAGTCCCGAAACAAGAAAGAAAAGGAAAAACAGAAGACGGAAACGCGTCCATCTGGTCCAATGCAGACAGCCTCGCTTCTTTCCCCAGTGCCACAGCAACCAGCCACACACTCGTCTTGCCAAGTGTCATCGTCGGCGAAGGGACATGAACTCTTACTCTCTCCTGCCCAATTACCTGAATGAAAATATGATTTCAAACGTTTTCTATCGAATTCTACACGCCGATCTACTGCCGATTCTGTCCAAGAAAGAGAAAAGAAGAGATACGAAAAGAAAGGGAGGAAGGAAAGAAGAAGAAGAAGAAGAAAAAATAAAAAGAGAAAGATAAAGTAGCATATCTCGACATTATTCGGCTTGAAACAAGTCTCAAGATATCATACAGGATAATTTTAGTTTAATGAAAGTTAGTGCTCACAGTGAGGATAATAAAAGATCGGCCACATTTTTTCTACCCCTCCGGTGTTTGATGAAGTAAAGGAACGTTTGTTGATAAATATCTTAATTTATTTCCTTCCATCGTATTTCTTTATAAAGAACATTTAAAATATTTAATGTGCTATTTATTTTTCAAACTTTAATGCGTTAGATTGATCTTTTTCTTTCGTATGAAAACTTGTGTTCCATTGTCTTCTACAAAAGGCAATAAAAAAAATTCCATTAATAACAGTTTAAAATGCACTGATCAAGAAAGTTGGAACTGCATCTGATCGGTAGATGAGTAGCTGTAGATAACAGGTGTATCGGAGGTAGTAGCATTCGAATCTGTTGCAATAGCAAACAATTGATCCTCATATATGGTACCCTGAGATTCTGCTTTCCCATTACCCGTTGTCGTTCCTGTCCCCGAAGGATTGTCCCCTTTGGTAGCTTCTCTGTACTTTTGTAGATAAACTTTCAATGGTTCTACATAATTATCGAAGCCAAGAGTTGTCATGGCAAATAATATATCTTCCCCATTTATGGTTTTACGTTTTTCCATGTGACATCGGTCACTGGCCTCGGACGTGATAAAGGATATAAACTCGGAAACGCATTCTTGAACGCATTCGCGCGCATCTTTAGCTATTTTTCCTGCTTCCGGTATAGCCCTTTTCATAATTTTAGCAACATTAGCTATTGGAAGAAAACGATCCTGCTCTCGTAGAGGACCACTACCGCTTCCACCTCCGCTGCTTTGTAAAGGATCTCCACCCCCGTGATTGGAATCATCTGTATTTTCTGGATCATTCATATGAAATGATTAAAATGATGACAAAATTGTGCGAGGAAATTATTTAATTATGCAAAAATCAATTCTATTTTTAATTCGATCGTAAAATCTCTAACCCAAATGCAATTCGTTCTATTCTTTTTAATTAACGATTATCTTACTATGTTAAACAGTATGTTATTAAAATATTTAAAATGTATTCTGTCTTTATGAAACACTAACCTACCTACCTTCCAAGTCGTCCGATTGTACGCCTATGTAGGAAGCCGAAACACCACTTCCTCCTAAAAAAGTTGTAGGGCCTAAAGGTCCACCGTCATCGCCACTTTCACCACTATTTTCCATTTTAAAATAATACTTTCCGTTTCTCTTAATTCAGACAATATATCTTTCTTCCCTTAACCTCTACGCGTACGACAATTCTGTTATTGTTTTCACTCTTTACCATGAACGTAGTAAAAGTTGAGAGAGTAAGTTCGACGAACTTCACAGTGTGGCAGTATATTTCGACGCATGCGCACTAATGCCCCAACGTTTTATAATAATTAATATACGTTATTATTATTATTATTATCAATTATTATTTATGCCAATTTGTATTACGTTAATTATTATGAATATGTATACGGTACGATGATGGAAAAAAAATTTTCTATGGTTTTCAAAAGTTGTCCTTGAATTCTCGACCAATCATGAAACGCGAAGCTATTGCTGCGTACGCGCCAAAATATTTCTCGTCTAATATCACGGCAGTGAAGGTATATATAAGTTGGCTAACGGCATATACGAACTATTACGGTGAATTATCTACAAATGCGGAGAGTGTTCCGTCTAATGCATGTTTTACAATTTATAACACGTGTTATTATGCCAATCGATCTATCAAAGAACATAACCGGCTATATCTATGAGCGACTATAATCCAAACATGGTGCCATCTATCAGATTTAAATATTACTCCACGTGAGAAACAAACGACTCCAATATGGCGAATGTGAGGGACAGTGATACGTCGTTGTGGCTTCATAACAAGCTTGGAACATCAAATGATAGTTGGACTGGTAGCTCAATCTGTTCTCAATTAAATGCTGAGGTTTTACGAAATATCAAAGATTGTTTTCCAGATCTACAGACGCAAGTTAAGCTTAAATTACTTCTTTCGTTCTTCCACATACCTAGGCGGAATGTTGAAGAGGTAAGTGTTCGTACTTTTCCCGCTATAACTAGTCATTTTTCCTTCTATCATCGATATTTATATGCTTTTTAATATTGCATTCGTCTAGAATATTTTTTCGAATTAATAATATCATAAAAATTCTCTATATTACGATATTTTAGGCAGCCCGCCGCCTATTTGATTTTATTTAGGTATCTAATGTTTTTGAAATGTATAATATCTTATCTTCGTTTGCGCGGCATATCTTAATATATATTCACACAATCAAAAATACAAAATAAATATCATTAAATTTATTTGCTTTGTTATTTGTGTAGTTCTCTGTATCTTTCGTAACAAATTTTAAAGAAATTAAATATATATATATATATACACACACACACACACACACATATATATATATATATATATATATATATAATACTATAATTTTTGTAGTGGCGCGTTGAGTTGGAAGAGATCATTGAAGTTGCATCACTGGACAGTGAGTTATGGGTTTCAATGCTATCCGAAGCGATGAAGACGTTTCCTTCTACAGGATCATTAAATACAGATATTACTGATTTAGATGAACATAGACCTATTTTTGGAGAATTAGTTAATGATCTACGAAAATTATTGAAAAAGCAGAATGATCCTGCTATGCTTCCGTTGGAATGTCATTATTTGAATAAAACGGCATTGGTATCTGTGGTAGGTCAACAACCTGCAGCAGTGAAACACTTTACATTAAAAAGAAAGCCAAAAAGTGCAGCTTTAAGAGCAGAACTGTTACAGAAGAGTAGAGATGCTGCGAGTAATTTAAAAAAGAGTACAGCCCCCACTGTACCAGTACGAAGTAGAGGAATGCCAAGAAAAATGACAGACACAAGTAAGAGACTATATGGATTTAGTTACATAATAAAGATATTAGACACGAGATATTTTATCATTATTATTACTATTATTATTATTATTATTATATTACAGCACCTCTTAAAGGTATTCCTAGCAGAGTTCCAACAAGTGGATTTCGTTCTCCTTCTCTTACAAGCTCTTCTATGTCCAATAGAACACCTATCAGTAGTAGAAGTCGTAAGGACGGTGGTATTAAATTATTGGATATTAATGAGCAACCTCTTGGATATGCTCAAGCTAAGAAAAGAAAGCGTATGATGGAGTTAGAAGAACAACAGAAAAAGGTTGCAGAAGCTCAAGCAGCAGCGGCAGCTGCAGCTTCAACAAATGCAACCACGGTAGAAACACCAGCTACACCGGAATATGCACAAGGATTAACATCAATTAATCCACCTTCCACTCCAGTTGCACCGGTCTCCACCGTACAATCTTATGTGGCACCTACCACTCCAACTGGAGTTACACCTGCGACTACATCGCAAACTCGTAAGAATTTCTACTTTTTTTTTAAATCTGATATATTATTTATTACAATTATCATAAAGACTAATTATTGAAATGATTAATTACTATTTAATCTTAATTGTTTAATACGTAGCTACTACACCGTCTACACCTACAGTGCCAAGTACCGTATTACCAATAACAACGCCGACAGTTATATCCCCTATAGAAAGTACACCTGTAGGTGTACAGACCGTTAGGCCAGCGCAGACAGTAACGCAAATTCGTATACAAACAACTGCACAACCTGCTAATGCAGCAGCAAATACGAGAAAGGGATTATCTTTAACGGTAAATTTATATCTCAAAGAAAATATATATATATATATATATATATATATATATATATATATATATGTAAGAAATTCGTTGTATGACAATTTAACGTATTGTATGTTTATATTTACAGCGAGAACAAATGCTAGAAGCTCAAGAAATGTTTAGAACGGCTAATAAAGTGACCCGACCGGAGAAGGCATTGATCTTAGGATTTATGGCTGGTTCCAGAGGTATATATATATATATATATAATATATTTTGAATATACAATATGAACTTTTGTAAAGATCGGTCGATAAATATTTATCCTTTTTTTTTTTCCTCTTTTCTTTTCTTTTCCAGACAATCCTTGTCCTAAGTTGGGTAATATAGTTACGGTAATGCTTTCGGAGAATATAGAAGAGGTAACTCAGGCAGATGGTACGACAGTACCGATGTTAGTTGAGACGCACTTCCAAATGAATTATACAAACGGTGAATGGAAGAGGATAAAGAAAAATCGGCGTATTGTTACGGACGAGTCTACCTCAGCGTCAGCTCCTACCCCTAATCCAACTGCTACAGCTTCCAATTAAAAAGAATAAAAGAAAAGAAAAATAATAAATTATCGCGATTTATAATAATGCAGAATTGAAGTACTCGCGCGTATGGCCATTTTGAGAACGACGCGCACACTTTGGCCATACCAATTTTTAAAGACTTTAGCTATATGCGATCATCATTTATGGTTTTGTGACGTATTCAAAACGTCATGTCAATTTTATAATTACCTTAACGCGTACGTTAAGGCTATATCGCTAATGGTCGTAATCGAATTATAATAGACCATGGGATTTGTGAGTGCGGATTTAAAAATGAAAAAAAAAAAAAAAAAAAAAAAAAAAAAAACGAAACGAAATAAACAAACAAACAAACAACAAATAAGGTTTTATATTATATATAAATCAAAGGTATAGATATTATATCTTTTTTTTTCTTTTTGTCCGTTTCTCTCGAAATCATAAGCGAAACGTTCTCGAAGCGAAACTGATGCAGGTACTAACAACACATCACTCGTTTTTTATACGGACGTTTCAGTTTCTAACTCGTAAAAAAAAAAAAAAAAAGGAAAAAGAGAAAACAAAAAAAGAAAAAATCGATTATTAAGATTTATTTAGTCATCGTGTAATAACGAAACTAGTGATTGTCGTTCAGACTGCAGTATGTACATTATTATTATATATTTGCACATTCAACAGAGATGAACATAAGACTTATATAATTGTTATTTGAATAAAATATAATTAGATTAAGTTTTATTGTCATTTGTTATTCTTATAGAAAGTTTTGTTTTCATCTTCTTTTTTCTTTTTTATTAATGCAATTTCCCAGATGATATATTTTTGTATGTACTTCTATGTACACACACATGTATATATATATATATATATATTTTCTATTGGCTCAAGCGTGCCATCTGTGTAACTTCCAACGAAACTTAGGTTACCTAACCTAATTTCGTGAAATCGAGTAGCGGTACGGTGATTTTGTTCTATTTCGTCTTTTCTTAAGTCCGGTACTGCATGATAAGCATAATATAAATAAAAAAAGGCAAAATATTTTCGTTTATCTCATAATTTACATGAAATTTATGAAAAATTTACATTTTTATCGTTTAAATTAAGTGCGAATTATATAATCTATCTGATTAATCGATCTCTATTAATCGTAAATGTGATACGTATTCTTTAAGAAAATTGAAATCTGTAACACTTGTTTATAAGCTATAATTTATCTCTTTATAAATAAAAGGATAAAGATTAAACGATAACGATGCTTCGATTGTTTGGAACGCAAGTACGAAAAGCGGTGAGTATTGATTTTTTTTGAAACGTTTCGTAATAATTATACATTTTGTAAACTTGAATGTATTTTTTTTTTCTTGCAGACTTGCATCATTTCGTCTTCTTTAAGGAAAACAAATAATCTAGCATTAGTAGAAACAACTAGAAAATTTAGTATTAGTTCGAGATGCCTAGGGGCTTGGCCAGAAATTCAAAAACCTGCACCAGATTTTGCTGGAACGGCAGTAATCAATGGTGACTTCAAAGACATAAAATTAAGCGACTACAAAGGGAAATATGTAGTTCTTTTTTTCTATCCATTGGACTTGTAAGTCATTGCTAAGTTTAAACTTAAAGAATCAATCTTACATTTCTTTTCTTTTTTTTTAAATATAACTTTTTCTAAATAAAAACTTTTTCTTTCAGTACATTCGTGTGTCCAACTGAGTTAATAGCATTTTCAGAAAAAATCGCAGAATTCAAAGCTATAAATACCCAAGTAATAGGCGTTTCCACAGATTCTCATTTTAGTCATCTTGCATGGACTAACACGCCTAAAAAGCAAGGTGGTTTAGGTGGAGATTTAGGATATCCGTTGTTGAGCGATTTTAACAAAGAAATCTCAGCGAAATACAATGTCCTCTTGGAAAATCCTGGAATAGCTTTGAGAGGATTATTCATTATAGATAAGGATGGAATACTTAGGCAATTTAGCGTTAACGATTTGCCAGTCGGTCGTAGCGTGGATGAAACATTAAGACTGATAAAAGCTTTTCAATTTGTCGAGGCACATGGAGAAGTGTGCCCTGCCAATTGGCAACCAGATTCTAAAACTATCAAACCGAATCCGAAAGATAGCAAAAAGTACTTTGAGTCGGTCAATTGAATTTCTCTATGATTTTCTTAACGCATATACATATATATGTATATATACATACACGTACATATATACATATACTTAAATATATGCAAATGTATATACACGTATACCATAAGATATTTTATTATGATTCGATGTAAGGCAGGATATGATGATGATGATGATGATAATGATATATAGTAAAAGATTAAAGAAACATATAAGAAAGATAAAATTTTATTGAAGCATTATAGTAGTAGAAAATCTGCGTCTCTTTTGGTATCAATTGGACTCCTGATGCATTGAGTTCATCGAAGAAAACATTTATTTATCATACTCTTTTGATTGGCAATGGTAGAGAGAAGAGGAGAAAAGAGAAAGTACCCCGAACGAATATCTTTGAAAAGCACATTCGCTATTTCTAACGTATAGTACATACGTGTACGATTGTGTCTGTAGGCGCGTTGGAACGGCACGAATAGAGTTCTCCGTAGAGTATCGAGGGTTGATACGGACTTGGTTCGATCGAAAGCTGAGAGAGAGAGAGAGAGAGAGAGAGAGAGAGAGAGAGAGAGTGAGAGAGAGAAAGAGAGAGAGAGAGAGAGAGAAAGAGTACAGGGGCTCGCAAAATTTGAATAGAAAGAAAGAAAGGGGAAGAAATAAGGTACGTGCCATTCGTGCGCATACATTAACGTGTGCGAGAGAGATGGAAAAAAAAAAGGAAAAGTGGTGGGAGGTGGTCGACGAGTGGAAGAGCAATCTCGTACCAGTTAATTTGATTCTTTGTGGCGATGAAAGTAATAGCGGGAGGAAGCACCAAAAGGCCGTTCCCGATTACCCTATCCTCCTATCGTGGCTTACTAAGTAAACGTTCGTCATTCTAACAACGATAGATCTCACACGTGTCATATACAATTTTGTTTTTCGTACAATTAACTGAAGATTAATTGAATGAAATTTTCCAATTGACGAGAATGTCAATGTGATACGAATTTAAGTTTAAATATACCACGATCATTTTCACCCTTTTTTTCCGTAATGAAAAATTACTAAAATGTATCATGAATATGTGATGTGCTATACGTTCGGATAATCGAGATTTGTATCATATATTTTGGGAGTATTTCGGAGTAAGGGCTTTAAACGAGAGGGTAAATGCATAAAGTGAAAAGCAGGCAAAAAGATAGATCCTTTAAATCTTGTAAATTCAATCACGTCGTAAGAATAAAAATAAAAGAGAAATAAAACCACAGGGATTAGTCGCGATATTTTTACGTTAAAAAAAAAAGAAGAAAAGAGAGGGAAAGAGAGAGAAAGAGAGGGAGAAAAGGAAAAAGCTTGATGTTAGTTTTTCTATCGAAGCATCCTCAGGAAAATCCTATTCTCGTGATATTTTCAAACGTGATCGGAGGACCGTCGCGCGACGTGACATGTCGGATTAGAAAAGCAAGTCTTTTAGCAGGGAATGGCAGGGGATTTTGATGTTTCAATCGTGCGTTCCGTTGTCCAGCGCGGTCGATTAACGCGACCGTGAGGGTGGGTCAGTAAGTTTAGTAAGGTTTCCGATTCTAATCGGTGCTCTCGGTCGATGCTCGACAACGTCATCTCTGAACACGATTCCGACGTTAAAATTTCATTCCGAGTATCACTTAAATCTCACTAAAATTAAATATCTTTTCAAACCGATGCGCGGATTCTTATATTAATTATTAATCTTCATAGTCAAGTTAACCATATTGTTAATTTTACATATATAGTTTATTTGATAATCCTTCGTCTAATACTGTTCTACAGTTATTCATTAGTAGATCTAGTTGATACGATCAAAGTATTAAATTTTGTAAAAGAAAGGAGAATTAATTTGTATTCTCAAGAAAAAGAAAAAAAGAAAAAAAAAGAGAGAAAAGAGAATCGGTAAAGGAAAGTAAGGGTAATATAAAACACTGACCGCGCCTCGACAACGTTTATATAAGCCAAGAGAATATATTTTAGTATTTGTAAGGCCACCCTAGAATGATATTCTTATTCTACGGAGGAGGGAGTTGTAAAAGGAGGAACGTTGAAAGTGGTGGGCGAGAACGACTGGAAGGACGAGGAATATGAAGAGAAAGAGAGGAAGAGGAGGGCGTTGGCGGAGGTCGGACGATGAGGAAACGGTGAGCATGATCGAGGAACCGAGGAGAAGGGAGAAGAAGAGGGCTCGCCGTCGTGCATCCATCCATATCCATCCCGGGGTGGCTAGGCTTTGATTACTTGTTTTAATCTTCCGACTGCCGACCGGGCGAGCATCTGTCACTCAAAATCCGTAATTGCGCGCCCACCCTTTTTGCCTTCTATCCCCCTACTCCCACCTTCTACGAGCTATCCCCATCCCAATTCACTCTTCCTCTCTTCTCAACCTTCTTCCCAACCACCCACACTGAGAATTGGAAACGCGTTCTTCTTTTCGTTCGAGACCTACCCTTACCACTCACCTTCTCTTTGCCTTTTTTCCTCTCCCAAAAGACAATTCTTCGCGATAATCATCGTATCATCGGATACGGACTCGATGGTTTCTTCCTTTGAAAAAAATCAGAGAACAGATGCGTCGTGAGCAGCAACAACGGCAGCGGCAGCAGCAGCAGCAGCAGCAGTACTACCAGAGGCAGGATCTATATATGTGTATATGCGATATATATATATATATATATATATATATTATATATATATATATATATATGTGTATATGCGATATATATATATATATATATATATATATATATATATATTTATGTGTGTGTGTATGTGTATGTGTAAGCAAAAGCGCAAGGCTCCTCGTACGGGACTCCGTGAGGACCCATAGGGGTGCTGTCAGAGACTCTCTTGGGATTATTTTCGCTCGATTATCTGTAGGACGTGGGGTCAACGTGTGGTACTTTATCCCGATGGAAGAATAGTAGACGGCTCTATTAGCGCTAAGAGTACCGATAAAGATGTGGCTAAAAGGAGAGAGAGAGAGAGAGAGAGAGAGAGAGAGAGAGAGAGAGAGAGAGAGAGAGAGAGAGAGAGAGAGAGGGAGAATAAGAGAATGAGTGAGGGAATGGACTGAGGAAGGGAGTTAGGGCTTCAAAAGTGAGAGAAGGAAAGAGAGAGATAGAAAGATAAAGAGAACAGCACGATGCGCTTCTTCTCGTCTTTCGTCTTCGACCATCACCACTACTATTACGATCTGCAGCATCAGGAGCGTTAGCAGGCTATTCCCTCAGGGGTTTCGCTCCGATTCTTTTCGGTCGCGCACGTCGGCCGTTTAGGTACCGGCCGTGATTCTCGCGCGCCATCGATCGTTTCCGTAAAAGAACAACGGGAACGACGACTACGACGACGGCGACGACGACGACGATGACAACGACTACGACCTGTCTTTTCTTCCTTTTTTTCTCTTTTTTCATTTTTGATTATTAGCATTAAAGAGAGAGAGAGAGAGAGAAAGAGAGAAATAGATAGAGGGAGAAAGGGTATGGGACGACAGGGAACAGCTGAGGGTAGCTTGCCACGAGCTAGACATCTTTTCTTCTTGACAACTTTGTCTTTTTTTTGTTGTTGTTGTTTTTTTTTCTTGCTGTTCGCTGAGGTGTTCCGAGTTTGTTTGGACGTTTAGTCGAAACGGTGATTTTATCCAGGAATTTTATATAAATCGATATGTCCGACTAATGTTTCCTATTATTTTGTCTTCCTTCCTTGTTCTTTTTATTTTTAATTCTGTTTGTAAGTTAAGGAAGGAAGGAAAGAAGATGGGAGAATGAATTTATTGACTTCTATATCGATATTCGATCTTATTCTCTATGTATATATCATATAACTTAACCAATAAAATTTATTTAAAGGAACTTGAAAGATTTCTGGGTCTTGTATTTTTTTTGTTTGTTTTTTTTTTTTTTTTTTTTTTTTTTTTTTTTTTTTTTTTTTTTAAATAAGACACTTATCCGTTTGATCGTCGATACATTTTCATTTAATCTGGGACTAAGTAAATCGGCCAACATTGAATTAATAAAAGTATGATTCGTTCCGGAGAACGCTTTAACAAGGCCATTCTATTTGATCGTGATTAAAAAAAAGAGAGGGAGAGAGAGAGAGAGAGAGAGCGTGTACACGTGTCTACGCGCGCACGCATGTATGTGTATGTATATGTGTATGTGTCATTGGAGAGCTCAAAAGAAAATACAGTTGGTATCGCGTGCGAGAAGGTGGAGCATTGCTTCTATCTTATCTCGCGTTTAATCAACGTAGCCGGGACCACCCCGCGGGCCATCTCGACACTCCTAAGCTCCGGCAATTACTTAGATGGACGCTTCAAAATCTACCGCACGAGCGAGACCCATATGCGGTATAAGTAAGTACGTAAGCATATATATATATATATATATATATATGTATATATATATATATATATATGTATATATATATATGTATAAACGTTTGTGTGCTCTGTGTATATTCGACGATAGAACTCTCTCCTTTTATTCGACAGAGTAAATCGAAATTAAAGTCTCGTTTATAAAGGAGAAGGTAGAGTGAACAACGACAGTTCTATAAACGTGTTAGTAAACGAAAGAGATATTCACGCCATTCACGAAATATTCGAATTTCATTTATTACTTACGATTCGGAACACACGCAAAATTTTCTTTTAATCGATATCTCTGTATTCTGTTACCTTTATTATTACTTAAAAAATATTAAATGGATTTGATTTTTGCATTAATAATGAATCTATAGATACGTCCGAGTAGAATGCGAACGATCGTTTGAATTCATGGCATTATAGGCAGGTAATCGTTCCCTTTTTTTTTCTTCTTGCTTGTTGTGAAAGGTATAAAAAAAAAAAAAAAAAAAAAAAAACAACGAGAAACAAAAAAAAAAGAGAGAAAAAAGAGAAGAGAAGAGAAGAGAAGAGAGAAGGATTTGGTTCAGAAACGAAAGCACACGACGCAACGATTGGATGTTTCTATTCGGTGAGATTGGAATCGAGTCTGGCGCGCTTTGTAGGCACACTCCCCCCTCTCTCCAACCTTCCATCCACCCCTTCCCCCTGATCCCATCGTGTAAACGTGCGTCGCTTCAATGAAGCGACCCGATAATCGCTCCTCGTCCTCTTTTCTTCCATTTTACGGGCCGTGTCGTTCTTCGCGCGACTTTCGGTACCATCTGTTAACACTAGACAGGAGTCGTTCGAACCTCGTTGTCTCTTTCAAGAATTATGATCGACAATAGAAAAGAAGGAAAGAAAGAGAGACGTTCATTAAAGTTATTAAATTCTATTAATTTCTATGTAAATTATCGTTGTTATGGATGTTATTTAGAAAAAAATTTAATTGTTTTTCTCTAATCGTTCGTCAAATTCATTTCTAAGATAAAAAGAAAGTTTTCGTTAAATTGAAGAAAGAAAGATAGATAGATAGATAGATAGAGAGAGAGAGAGAGAGAGAGAGAGAGAGAGAGCGAGCGAGAGGGAGGGAAGGAGATGATAAACGATTCGATTTGATAGGAAAGAATCGAAAATCGAACGTCGAGATCGACAGGAAGGATCGACGATAATCCAAAGGTAGTAGTAACCAGCCGACAGGTAAGTGGGCAGAAATATCATTCTATTAGGTAGGTAGCTAGCTAGTCTGATATCGGAGTCGCAGATCCTTTTCCGGCCCCCGGGCGAGTGCTTCGTTAATTAATCTGGCAGGAACGAACTCGGCAGCTCAAAGGCACCCTTTTTCGCTCAGGTTCATCCATCCATTTGCCAACGAACATATACCTACTCTCGTGTGTCTTCTCTCTTTCTCTCTTTCTCTCTCTCTCTCTCTCTCTCTCTTCTGTCCCCTCTCTCCTCTACCTCTTCATTATCACAATTCTGGACCAAAAAGGTAACAATGGAAAGCGAACGATTATAACTTGACCGGGTCGAGACTGATTTTATTCATTGCACGACCGCACAAAAATGGCTTTGGGAATGGATGGGCACGGGGGTGGATATGGGCTCGGAGGTGTAGTCACGGGAATGGATAAAGGAATCATCGTTTCGCGTCGTTCCGGCGAACAATGCGTCGCGCGAGAGCTATGCGGGGAAGATTAAACGTTGATTCGTTCGTCGATCTCTACCGTAGTAGTGAAAATTCGTCATTGTTCGGGATAAGCAAGAACACTGAGTAAATACGTAATACGTGGTATGGACGCGGGAGGGGGGAGGTAGCGATGAACGATGGCGAGGGGTGGGTTGAGGAGGGACGAGTACTTGCGATTAAGGGGATAATGTGCTTTTGTCTCGTCGAGAAAATTAATTTTCGTCGGATAATTCCAAGATTACTTGTACGCTTGACAGAGTATAACTGTTATTTCAAGACTCTTCTTAATCAACACTTCATTGTTTTTTTTTAGTTTGTTGAAAGGCAATTAAAGGGGAAGGAAAAAAGGAAAAGACAATAAGAATAATAACGATTTGGCTAACGCGTAGAAATAATGTATAATAAGTAATAATTAATACGTACTTACCCGAATAACATGGATATTTCTCTTCTATTTAATCGAGGAGATCGATGTCCTCGATATAAAAACCTCTTCTATGACACTCTATGAAAAACACTCGTATCATACTTACATATCACTGTTCTTTCTCGATCGTTTTATAAGAGCGTATTGTTGACGTTTAAATATACGAAAGCTCTTGAGTTCTCCTCGTACGTATGTAAGTAAATAAGTAAGTAGGTAGGTAAGTAAGTAAGTAAGTAAGTAAGTAAGTAAGTACCTACTATCTCTTCCATCTGAACGAGTTCGTTTCGTCAAAATAGAAACTTGGCCTAATCGCTGTTCCTTTTTTGAAAGAACACTCGACCGTATAATACCCATTATCGATCCCCCTCTTATGATCGAGGATTATCGAGCGTGAGTCTAAGGAAGAAGAGGAAGAAAAAAAAAATGTAAAAATAAATAGACGAAGGAAACGAAGAAGATGAATGAAAAAGAAGTCGACAGGATAAACGCAATTCGAGTTTCTCCGCACACATATAGGTATTATATACATAGATACATAAATAAAGATACGACGTGGGAGATTCGAAATAGCAGCGGCGGCGGGGGAAGGAGGGTTGGGTTGGTTGGAGGGCTCGTAGGGGTTCCTCTTTACGTCCTTCAACTCCTCGAATTGCTTTTTCGAATCGACGGTACGTGTAGCGCGAGAATATCGAAGGCGAATTGGTACGCGGGTGAACGCAAAAAGCGACGTACGAGTTAGAAAGAAAGAAAGAGAGAGAGAGAGAGAGAGAGAGAGAGAGAGAAAGAGAGAGTAAAGATGGGGTGAGTATGCAGGATGCGGCGGCCGCCGGAGAGGAGAGGCGAGCGAGCGAGCGAGCGAGCGCGCGCGCGCCGTTGCTGCACGGGCATAAAAGAGCAAGCGAAAAAGGGAGCCTCTTTTTAATCTAGCGACGATTCGCAACCCCCGGCTCCTTTCATAGTTACGTGCTTAGTACTTATACCCATTGACTCCCTCTCTTTATCTCTCTTTCTCTCTCTTTCTCCCTCTCTTTTTCGTTCTCTTTCTCAATTCCCCGTCTCACTCTCGCACGTTTGCTTTGTCGTCGTGTCAGGGTCGGTCTTCGATCATCGAAGGCCCCGAAACCACCCTCCACGAAAGTCTTCGAGCTTCCTTTGAACCTTCTCTTCTTATTCGTTGGAATCAGATCTCATGATTGTGCTCTTACTGTACGAGTTTGTTTTTCCGATTCCTTTTGTTTCTTTTGTCCTTTTTTGTTTCTCTATTGTTTCGTTTTGCTATATTTTTATACTCTTCTTTTCTTTATCATATTTTTTTAAGTAAGTGCGTGATCGCTTATATGCTGACAGGTGTCGTACGACGATGGAATAAAAGATTTGTCAAATAAATGATGTCCCCGTGTAATATGTACATATATATATATGTATATGTGCATTACGTATTCGGCATATACCGTATTATGTATGTACAATATATATTTCATTACACATTCTTCGAAGTATACTATATATATATGTGTGTGTGTTTGTGTGTGTATATATATATATATATATATATATATATATATACGCACACATATACGATTTACGTCGAGGGACGCGTAACTGGATCATGTTAAACGTTTTACACTTTCGTTGATGCAATGTCAATAGGGTTTTTTTTTTCCAATCGATTATGTTTAGCTAGTCTTTAACAAAAGGAGGAAAGTTCGGTTTAAAGAAGCTTTTTAGTGATAAAATTTTGGACGGATAAATATACATATCGAGAAAAATTATCGATTACAGCTTAGCGATAACGATAGAAAAGAAAAGAAATGAAAAAGAAAGAAAAAGCAAAAAGGAATCGAAATGAAAACGATTAAAAACGATTTGTTTATGTTCGAATGAAAAGAAAACAGACGTTGTTGTCGAGTCGTAGTAAGACCAGAGACAAATCGTTTTGTCTTCTGGAGAAGATCGCGTCATATTGAGTAGGGGTGTGGCTTTCGGGGTGGCTAACGCAAGGCTGGCGTGCGCGTCGTCCACCCTTGCGCAGCGCCGATAGATTTTCCAAAAAAAGAAAGAGAGAGAGAGAGAGAGAGAGAGAGAGAGAGAAGGAGAAAGAAACAAGTTGTATATCCATTAGAGTAATTATTCGGTCAGGACCTTTCCGAGGAGGCAATAATAACGGTCACGAAAGGATCGAAAACGTGTGATAAGAACTACGAATTGTGTGAGTGAGTTTGTTGTTTGAAAGAAGGAAAGAAAGAGAGTAAAACGAGCGTGTACATGCGCGCGCGTGTGTGTGTGTGTATGTATGTTTTAGAGAGAAAAAGATAGAGAAAAGTGAGGTTGACGAGGCGTCATCTGCGTCGTTTGCCCTTTTTCTTCTTGCAGCTGTCGTGAAGTCGTCATCATCATCGTCGTGCTTTATCGTGCTAGGTAATTAACTCGATTAGCTGCTCGTCGAGAAACTAAACGCGATGCGACCGATTAAAACGTCTCTACCCTTTTTCTCTTTTACTTTTTATCGTTTCTTTTTTCTCCCTCTTATTTTCTCTCTCTCTCTCTCTCTCTCTCTCTCTCTTGCTCTCTTTCTTTTTCTCTTTTGCTGACTGACGAAAGCTCAAGAGAATCATTTTAATCGATGAAATAAACGAATGAAATAGTAACACGCTTGTAACTCGCTTGAACAAATGGTCGAGATTTTTATGAGTATGAGTTTAGTTCAGATTCTAAGAAAAATCACAAGGGTCGAAAAGTTCGATCCCTTTGCCTTCTTTATTCGTAGATTTAGCGCAAACTCGTTAATGTAACGCGATCGTCATACATTGGGTCGGTAGAACGAAGAAAAAAGGATGAAGGAGAGAGAGAGAGAGAGAGAGGTAGAATCTGGTCCCCTACGCGTTAAATTACTTTGCGATACTATACGTAGGAAGAGGGCGGAGCGACGCAATTCGACTCCAGATTGTCGACGACAATGCATCCTTTTCGTCCACGTTACTTTCGATCGATCGACCGGCTCCTTCTCGGTTCTTTACCTTTTCGAAAAATCCTGACATGGCGGACCGTATCTGTCCGCCATTTTGTCGAATGTACTAGCTTTCGAGATACGATAAAAATAATCAACGTGAGCTCCGCCGAATGTAATAAAATGTACATAGGTACATATAACACGTATATACCTATATCGAATAATTCGAATCGTCAATAACAATTTTCATACGAAATAACTCTCTATTTACTGAGCATGGCACCGGGAGTATTTTGCGTGGAATATTTTTGCCCGCCTCCCCCTTCACCTTTCCATCAACTCTAAAAAACAAAAAGAGTTGTTTCGAATTGTTATCGACTCGTTTTACCAACTGTGGTCGTCGAATCGTTCGAAGCATCGACCCGGGATGATGAAAAAACTGATTGGGGAAAAAAAAAAAAGGAAATAGGAAAAGAGCTTTTGGCGCGAAAGGGATACGCGCGTGCCATTAAATTTCGACTTCTTGGCTGGTCGATGAAGAAGCCAGGAAAAAGCAACCAACGGACCTCGAGAATCTTATCCTGAATGTTCGCTATTAGGAGGATTATATTACCGTCGAAGGATACCTAATCTATGGGATATTAAACGCGAAGGAAAAACGTAACCTAATCGATCGATCTCCGGACAATTCTCTCTTTTTCTTTCTCTCGCTCTCTCGTTTTTCCCTTTTATCCGTCGGCGAATCAGTTCCCCTTCTTTTCACCGTTCCACCCTTATTCGACGAATCGAATCGCGGCGATCACGAGCGACCGAGTCCGAATCAAAACGCAGCTCTAGACTTTGAAGCGAATGGCAGAATGGGCTTTGACATATCGTCCCGTGGTTTCGGCAACAATTTTGTGGTCCGACGGTAGGTGTACGAGAACGAGGCGTAAAAACAAATGGATAGTTAGATCGAACTGGCCGGACTGGCTGCCGTCAGTCGGTCGATCGATTTGTCGAGTAAATGAAACGGCTTTGGGGATAGGTAGATAAAGACATATATATATATATATATATATACACATATATACATAAAGAACGGAGAGAATCGTTGGTGTACCCTTCGATACCGATAACTCTTTCTCTCTCTCTCTCTCTCTCTCTCTCTCTCTCTCTCTCTCTCTCTCTTTCTCACTGTGCTTTACAAAAGATTATCGCGTGTGGACGGGTTCGGGTGACGCTGTAGAACGAACGAAACTAAAACAGAGCATGAGAAATGAGTGAGTGAGTGAGAAGAAAACGTCAGACTTACGAATGAAAGGCTTGTACAAAATATGCAAGAGAGAGAAAGAAAGAGAGAGAGAGAGAGAGAGAGAGAGAAAAAGAGATCAGAGAGGAAAAGAGTCGAAGGTGCGATGGCAGGGTATGAGAAGGATGATTGAAATGCGCCTACATACTTAGATGTGCGTACTTACTCGGGATAGATATGTCTCGTGTAGACACACTATGTAGAGAAAAAGAGAGAGAGGTAAAGATATATATGTGTGTGTGTGTATGTGTATGTGCGTGTGTGTGTGTGTGTGTGCAGAGAGAGAGAGAGAAAGAGTGAGGGAAGATATATGCCGCGAGAGAACGCGTCGATGGAAGAAAAGAGAGCGAGCGGCCATTGTTGTACGTTCTCCCTCGTGGTTGCAACTAAGAGCTTCGGTAAAGGTAGTCGTCGAAATGACGATGACGACGTCGATGATGGCAAAACATTCTCTCTATCTTTTTCTTTCACTTTATATCTTTCCTATGCTTTCTTTCTCTCTATCTTTCTCTCCCTCTCTCTCTCTCTCTCTCTGACGAACATCGAAGAAAGGCGGATACGTGCAAAGCGCGAAACCGCATCGCATCAAACAATAAGATCAAGCTACCTCTCGTTTATTGTAATCATTTTCTCTTATCCCAGTCACGACGATAAGGAGCCCTTCGCCTTGAGAAAATGATTTTTCGTGAGGACGTTATAGAAGAGATATTATGCAATTTCATCCTGCCAATCGTGATATCGTTTTCTGTGCAGACACAAACCGAGGAGGATTGGGTTTGAAGTTTGTTCAACGTTTCTTTTCGAACAAAGCCGAAGCACGTTGGCTTCGACGTTCTTTTTAGGGCTGTTCCGCTTTCTTTCTTATCTTTTTTCCCTCTTTTTTTTTTTCTTTTCTTTTCCTTTCCTTTTTTTTTCCATGCGTAAAATCAAAGCCTAAAGAATCATGTAACGATCTGTAAATATCTTTTGATACCCGCGAGAGTGGGATTGTGTTGATATTGTGTTCATGCTCGGAGATAGGAAAGTAAACTTGGGATTTTTTCTTTTTCTTTTTTTTCTTTTTTTTGTTTTGGATGACGACTCGTGCAGAGATCGCTTATTATGTCGTGCGACGACATATATAATTTTCTGCCGTAGGTAATGGCGGGTAAGATTAAACGAACGTAGATTTAACGAAAAAGAAACAAAAAAGACGAGAAAAAAAATCGCAAAAGAAGATTAAGAAGGAGATGTTACTCGTTGTTTTCGTAACTCTACCGTTTCGTTTAATAAAATCAATCGTTTGGATACTTATCACAACAGGTAGAATATATTCGTAGGAACCCTGGCCGTGTCTTAGGACGTAGCTAAGGTCGTAGCCCCAAATAGAGAGAGAGAACAGCCCGAGATTACGTCCGAGACGTAATTTTCCGATAATATACATTGTCGCGTACATACGCCAACTTTGTATGTATATCGGTCTTTCTTTCTCTCTTTCTTTCTCTCTCTCTCTCTCTCTCTCTCTCTCCCCTCTCTCTTTTTCTCTCATTCTTTCTCCCTCTATCTCCTTTTTACTCTCTCACGAGGGAGAGACTTTGTAAAGAGCGTTGCGATGTTGCAGTTGCGTCTTCCCTCTTTCCCGATTTGTCTCTCTCTCATAGAGGACGTCGAAAGAGAAGGAAGCTTCGAATCGACGTTTGCACGAAAAGTCCCGAGCCCGCGAAGCAAAGAAAGAAACCAAGAGAGCGAGAGCGAGAGAAAGAGAGAGAGAGAGAGAGAGAGAGAGAGAGAGAGAGAAGAGAGAGAGAGAGAGGGGAGAGAGAGAGAGAACAAAGAGAGAAAAAGTGAGTGAGAGAGAAAGAGAGAGGGGAGACAGTACATTCTTTTATGACATAATGATCACGCTCATCCGACGTCGAGGTCGTCGGAAGGACGAGCATCGTCGATGGACACCGAGAGAACGTCCTCTTCCTCTTCGTCCACGTCCCTTATTTCCACTTCTTCCTCTTGATCCTCCTTCCTCAGGCGATCGTCGTGGTCGTCGTTTCTCAAGCTGATTCCTGCAGGCTGCTGCCGGTCGAAGACGATCGTAATCGGGCAGAAGAGCGGACGGTGTTATTGCGAGGAGGATTGGGTCGGTTGCCCGTTGGGTGGTGGTGGTGGTGGTGGGGGTGGTTGGGGATGCACTTGATGGGGTAAAAGGGCGTGAGGCTGCACGTGAGCTGGATGATGATGATGGTGTTGATGGTGATGAGAATAGAAGATCGGTTGGGCAGTTTGGCCGACTACCGGGGCACAGGAAGTGCCAACCCCGACGCCAACGCCAACGCCGACGGAATGCGAGAGCACCGAGGAGACGGCCGAGGACGGTGCCGTTGGTGGTTGAGGCGGTGCCGTTACCGAGACGGATACTCCGGCCGAACTAGCGCTACCCGCGGAAGCTTCGTGATAGAGTATCGGCACCCTGACGAGTCTCTGAGCAGCGTGGGCCATATTTGCGGCCTCCAATTCGGCGGCCAATTGTCTTTTCCACTTGTTGCGACGATTCTGGAACCAGATCTTCACCTGAGTCTCCGTCAATCTCAAGGATGCAGCGAGACCTGCCCGTTCCGACGACGACAGATAGCGTTTCATGTCGAACGTCGATTCCAATTGAAAGACCTGCGATCGCGAGAACACCGTGCGCGTCTTCTTCTTGCGCTTTATGCTACCGGAATCCCGCGAGTCTAGGCCAACTTGTACTCCGTTGCTCTGACCACCGGTACCCCCGCCGCCGCCACTTCCGCCGCCACCGCCTCCTCCTCCTCCTCCGCCTCCACCGACCCCTCCACCACCGGCCGACCCACCGCCCACGCCACCGTGTAATCCTGCGTTCGTCGAGTCGCCGTCGCCGTCGCCATCTTGGCAATCGTCCCCGTCGGCTAGCTCGTCGTGAGCCTCGTCGCCGCTCGATGAACTCCTCGTCCTGTGCAGCCGGTCCTCGCCGTTCTCGTCCTCCAGCTCGTCTGCTCGCACACAACGTTCATCCTCGATTTATCCTTTTCCTATCGATATTGTCCACAACTCGATCGATTATCCTAACTACGTATTGATCCTCTCTATGTGTTACTCTTCTATACCACCTACATAATACACCTATCTCTTTCTTTTTTCACCTTTCATAAGAGACTATTATTTCGGATTATTTCCGTGAAATGCTAAAGTACTCGCGTATGCGCGTTCTAGCCTATTTATCTATAATCTACCAGCTATCGGTACTAGTCGCATTAATTATTTACTCGATCGGTAGTCCGTCAATTAATATTCTATTTATTCACGTCGACGTAATTGGCCTAGCTAGATCAAGTATCCGTGTAAATGCGTCTCTAGCGCGTTTCCGTTCGGTCGTTTAATCGCACGATCGACAAATTACGCAACGTAAATTTCGTCGAGGGTCGCGAATTTCTCACGCGCGTTTGATAATCGACGAATTTACAATATACATAAATAAGATTTAACCGATCTCGCGGTCGCGCCTGAGTCGCTAGACTCGGAATATGTCCGAGGGAGTCGAACGAGACTAGAGCGAAGTGACAAGAGCAAAACGATCGACGGGTAAGGCGATCGTCGTTGGTTTGTCGCGGCGGAAGCCCTGGAAGCCGTACTCGTCGTCGTACACGTTCTCGCCTATAAATACGTGTATGTATACCACTTGGCTCTCCCTTCGACCGTCTTTCTTCCTTGTCTCTAGGCTCTTTCTTCTGATCCTTTTCTCGTTCTTCCTATCGACTAAAGATACGAATAACGCACCTTTCCTATGAAAGGTACGTTTGATACGTCCTCCGAAAATATGACAAAAAGATTAAAAGATGTATTTCCAACGATAACAAAACGAAATTTATCCGCGTGCTCGTAATGTGCTGGTCCGAGTCTAGGTATTACGGATAAAGCCGAAAAAAATTATAACGATTTATTTAAAGTAAATCACGTGGACCAATGACTAAACTAATGGAATAGAAAAGAATCCCTTTTTGGATATTTCCATTGGTTTGTCACGATATCTTCCCAGCGTAGCGCATTAGGTGTCCCGGTGGTGTTCTTTATCGATCGTGATCGGCACTTAACGAGTCTAAACGAAACGTTTCGATCTAAAGTCGATCTAAATCCGTATCTAGCCTATAACGTTCTCCTCTTAAACTCCTCCTATTTCCTGCAAACTGAGAATTTAAGTTCGTTCGTAGACTCACCCTTTTGCGGGAAGGAGGCGGATGCAGGGCTGACACGGCTGAGAGCACCAACAACGTCGCCTGGCGACGGATGTTCGAGCGTTTGCAATCCATGAGCAGGCCTCCATGGAAATGGCCAAGCTGCCGGTCCACCAGGAAGAACTCCTCTGATGCTGGCCTCGGCTGTGACGTCACTGATGTCAGCCGCTTGTCCACCAACTTGAACGGCGTTGCTCAGCGCCGAGGAGACCGTCGCTAGACGCGAGTGATGTTGCTGTTGTTGTTGCTGTTGTTGCTGATGCTGCTGTTGTTGCTGATGCTGATGAAGATGTTGCAACGTTGGCGGGAAGAAGACACCGACGGGATATCGGGCGCTTATCAATGTCGACATCAGGCCCAATCTGTACGACAATATAAAACAATAGATTTGCTATTTTATATTCTTACGATTATGCCAATAGAACGATGTAATTTGAGATGAAAATGGAAAGACATGTTTTCCATTTCTCTTTCTTTTTCTTCCTCTTTTTTTGTGGGTTAGGAATTCAAGGAACGTCGAAAACGGGCGATGTAGATCGTTAAGAGGAAAAATCCGCTTAAAGCTAAAGCCTCGCTCTCTTTTTCCATCTCCTCTCCTCTTTCTTCGAGAGATCACGCTCTTGAGAGCATACCTGAGGGGCCAGAGAGAGAGAGAGAGAGAGAGAGAGAGAGAGAGAGAAGGAGAGGAGACCCGTTGAGAGTATTATCCGCTTCTCACTTATCCTTGCGTCGAATAACAACAGGTACTCGTCGTAATACTCGAGTGAGAAAATTTGATCGTCGTTTACGGATTTGAAGAACGGAAAAGGAAGAAGGGAATTAGAAAGCATTTCTCTTACGATTTTAAGTATGCCGCTTTCGACAGAAGAAGAGTGGGAGAGAGAGAAAAAGAGATATGAGTAAATTCTTTAGTTTGATAATTCGGGGTCTTCTAGATCGACAGAAATGTAGGTAGGTAGGTAGGTAGAACTGGATAGATGGACAGACGTTTCAGCACGGTCACTACTCGGAAGGTGGTAGGTATAGACACTGAGGCTTCGGAAGCCATACTACTTCCCCCGTGTTCCTCGCTTACTAGAGGGAAGCAAGAGTGGTCTGTCTGTCTACGACGCCGACGATCCGATCTCGTTTCGATGTTCTCTTCTTCTTCTTCTTCTTCTTCTTCTTCTACTACTACTTCTTCTACTTCTTTCGCTTCCGCTTTTTCGTTCGTTCAAAGTAATTTTCTTTGATTTTTTTCAAAGAGACTGTCCTCCGTTGATGAATCATTTCAATCGGAATTGCTTATTTTCCTTTCGTTACTTTTGCTCCTTGTCCTTCGATATTAAATATCCGTTACGGTAATTAAGAGATTGTAAGAGATCCAACTAGTGAATATTTTCTTATCACGAGGGCGTCTCAAAGTAATACTGCCTTCTCTTCTTCTTAATCCTCTCTCTCTCTCTCTCTCTCTCTCTCTCTCTCTCTCTCTCTGATATCGAATATCCCAGTAGAGGGTAATTAAACGATTAAAGGATTTCACTGAATCTCTCTTCCTTTCGTTTCTACGTCGTCCTTACTCGAGGACGTCGACTCGAGAAATGAGGAGGGGAGCCAAAAGGAGGACCACCAGCCCCGAACGAGGAGGAAACGAAAAGAGGAGCGTAACGCCAGAGGCTTCGGCCTATACACAGATGCCTCGGGAAAGATAAAAGAAATCTGACAACCGCCTGTTTGTAAGCATCCACCGACCCTTTCTAAGGAGCAGGTATAAACACCAAACACAGTGGTTCCTCTCGAGATGGATAGAGATAGAACAAGAGAGACAGATAGAAAAAACCAGAGAGAGAGAGAGAGAGGAAAAGAATAAAAAGAGAGAGAAAGAGAGAGGAACGTGCTCCACCTTTTTGCAGCCTAATTCTTTGCGCGGCTTTACGTATCACCCAAGTCCGAAGGAGAGCATTAGGCGTTGCCTCTTCTTTTGCTCTTCGATCGTTTTACTACGTTATTCTTCTTCCTCCTCCTCCTCCTCCTCCTCCTCCTCTTCTTCTTCTTCTTCTTTCTCTTCTTTTTTTCCTCAATCTTGGACTCACGTTACCGTATTTTCTTTCTTTCGTTTTAGATTTCTTTCGCAAGAGCTTCACGGCTCGAAGATTTTCTTTCTATTTAACTTATTTGTAAATGGTTTCTTCAAGGTACTTGATAACTCCTTATCGTTAAGATAAAACTTACGTTGAAAATATATTCATTACAGTTTGATACGGTGATGAGAAGTTTGAATAAATAATCGGTATATATATGTATACGCAGGCATAATTTTGTTACCCCATGTTCGTTAAATTGCGAACACGATTCTATTCTTCTTACAACGAGTATAGAAAATGATTCTCCCCTTACGTATATCGATTATTATATCCACCTTTGCCTGACGCACGTTTGCCGCACGTAAGTGCCATTCTCAAATATAAACTCTTTATGCCGTGGTTAACGATCGCTGGTAATACGATACGTTTTGTCGTCTACCGTTACAACGCCGAGGGTAGTTTAGGAAGAGGAGTGCAACGAGGAAAAACAAGTCGATCACGGCACGTTCACCGTTTAAGCTCATGCTCGTGCTAATCCGAAGTTCTTCCAAGATCGATACGTTTTTCGTCGGGGAGTGATGGCGGGGGATGAAAGGGAGGAGGGGACGGAGATACTCTTCCGCGTATGTCAAATCTTTCTAATATTAATTACGTTTGTCATTGTTTCAATAATTCAACGTAATCGTTGAATTATACGTTAATTTTTTTCGTTCGTACGATCTCGACTTAATTACTTTTCAAAGAGAAACAGAACGAGAAAATAAAACTTATTATCTTTCAATCTGTCTTCTCGCTCGTTTACACGTTACAAGTTCGGTACAGGATCGATGAGAGAGAGAGAGAGAGAGAGAGAGAGTGAGAGAGACGTCTATTCGTTCCTCGCGATGAAAGACACTTGACGGTGACTTATAAAGTGTCATTACGATGACCCAACGGCAAGTTATTGGCTTTCAATGCACAAGAGCTAAATCCGTTGCCGGGCTTCGTTGCGTTCGTTACGGGCCAAGTGGAAAGGATTAATTCTCTTGTTCGTTCGATACTTGATTTCATTCAAACTCGTACTCTTTGGTTCGCGAACACACCAAGAAGAAGGGAAAGCGGGAAACCTCACGCATATACGTACGTAATCGTATCGTGCTACACGCGTATATATATGTAAGTACTTAAGAGCAATTCCGTAAAAAAAAAAAAAAGAAGAAAAAAAAGAGAAAAGGAAAGGTATATAAATGGTAGAAAAGGTAAAATGATTCTTTTTGTTTTATTTTTCTTTTCTTATTTCGTTTCCTTTTTCTTTTCCTTTTTCATGCAAAGAAATTAACATATTTTTTGCAAGTAAAACGTCTAAATCATATTACTATTGCTATTATTCTTGTTGTTAATAATTCTTTTTTTCTTTTTTCTTTTCTTTTTTTTTGCTTCGAAAGTATCTACAGATAGTAGTCTCGTTGCTATTACTTTTTTTGTTATTATTTTCATTTACTTGTTTATTTTTTCTTTTTCTTAAGAATACTCGATCACTAATTACGCGAGTAGTAGCATGCTCGGTATATGAAGCTTACGGATCTTTTCAGAGAGTTCGTGAGAGATAGAGTGATGATAGAGAGAGAGAGAGAGAGTGAGAGAGAGAGTGAGAGAGAGAGTGAGAGAGAGAGAGTGAGAGTGAGAGAGAGAGAGAGAGAGAGATAGATAGACAGGTAAGCGTGTAGCGAAGCGTCATTTGCCGGGACAGGGAACAAACGTCGAAGGGAATCGGTGACTGTTTCGACGCAATTATTATTCGCGGTTCGCGTTCCCAGGTACCGTTCTCGTATCCCCGTTTGTTCGCCACGTTGAAACATCCGTATCGCCCTCGAATGGGCGATCATACACAATAGGCTTTATCGTGCCTTCCTTTGAAAGTTCGAGCGCGATCCCACTCTAATTAACGAATCATTCATCGACGCTGTAATTAACGAGGCTGACTCTGTCGCGGATTATTCAGTCGCGTCTTTTGCTACCCGACGCCATATCTATACTCTCTCTCTCTCTCTCTCTCTCTCTCTCTTTCACTCTCTCTCTCGCTCTATTTGACGTACACGTATAAGGTTCGAATAATCGCAAAAAAGATCAAGAGAGAAAGAGAGAGCGAGAGAGAAGAAATATAAAGATTTCTACGTGACACAGAATATTATACGCTCCATGAATATTTTCAATAGGCCAAAAAATATGAGATACAAAACAAATCGTCAGATCTTTCCTTTTACGACGATGATCGCGATCCATCGATCTCTAGCATGATAAAGTAATCGCTTCTGGATTCGGAATA